AAATTTCGATTAATCAATTTAATTGTGTATTCAATTAATCTACAAGTCTACATTACACTAACTGATATAATCGCTACTCAAAAGTAATCTACTATATCGATTAAATTGGCCAGATCTATCCAAGAGGGAAAATAATAACCACACACAGTCTGAATAAGCCCCGGACAACTTTCGAAACGTCACCTTCCAGTGAGAATACTGTTACGTAATCTCGATGACGCAACTGTATTATATATATATATATATATATATGTGTGTGTGTGTGTGTGTGTCTTTATTCAGGTATATTCACTTATGTATTTTTTTTTTTAATTTCCATGTAGTTTTTGCATTCACTTAATCCCATCTGTTTCAACCATATGTCTCAAGAACATGAACATGTGTTCATTCTTTTACATTGGTATGCTTACATATTGCAGCCTTTGTTCTTATACCACATGTTAGCATGTATGTGTTTCTGTACTGTATGGGCTGCTACAAAGGAAATCTATCCGATTTTAAAAGTGGAGTATATCCACAATTCTCTTTCTGGTTTTCTCTTTATTTTTTGCTCTAGTGTTTTCTTGTTTGTTGTTAAGCACAGAGCTACACAATAGGCTATATGTGCTCTGTCCATGCATCGCATGTATCGAAAACCGATGTTTAGCATTATAAGCCCTTAGAGTTAACGCTGAGCCACTGGATGAGGGCACTCTAGCTACTAGCTTTCCAGCCCACAAACCTAGCGCCAGGCAAAGCCACAGGTCACACAGATTATAATCCGGCCAACAATTTGATAACTTACAGACAATAGTGTACATAAATAGTTTGTGTGTTTGTTTTTCTTTGCTTTCTGTGTCAAAGTTATTCATTACAAATTTCTTGTGTTTGATTCTAGTTGTGAATGGTAACAATATTTATTCCCATAGGCCATTGCGTCAGGAAGTCGTTTATAGACAGCCTCCGTAAACAGTGTTTCTCTTTAATAGAACGGTAGTGATGTATACGCTGTCCAAAGGCCCAAGCAAAATCTTAGCTAAAAGTAAAACAAGAAGAGGTACGTTATACCGTCTAAAATTTTTTGCATTTTTTTCCTTATTTTGTAGTATGGATATGATTTTCTGCGTCCATATTCACTGATTTCATACATTAAGCTTTGCACGTGTTTAAATTTTACAGGGATTACGCAAAAGGTGGATAGCCTTGAAAGTTCGAGGGATTTTGCGAGCAAGCGCCCTGGGGAACTCAACGACTCTATTGATATGAGGTATCTTAATGTTAATTCCAGTAGTACTTACTGTAGTGTTAGTGAGTACTACTACTACCAGAGCTCATATAAGATAACTTGCAATACACTGAAGTTAATTTGGTAGCTCGAAGTTTTTTCAAATTAATTTAGACTGTTACTTAACCCATCACTGATGACATCAGGAACCAGTACTTTACTTATACTTATAGTTTTTAATTTCACTTTTAGGAATATCCAACTGATGAATAAAAGTCTGGTACGTTAGTGAAATATTCCGTTATGTTCCTTCTTTATAACTTTGACTTAAAATTAAGCCTACATTCGTATTTGAAGTCGAACAAATTAACTATATACAATATTGGTTTATAATTATAGAAAATATAAAACTTTAATGTGCCTAAGAGTTGTTTTACTTTTAGTCAATTTAGTATCTTACCTAGGCCATTCACTTGTATTTAGAATTAGAGGGTACTCATGGTGGTTCCACATTTGAAATATAATAATTTTTACCCCCACCTCTCCATTTTAGCAATTGATGGGCTTTATGCATCCATATATCACATTATCAGGAATTGTGGGGTTTTATATGCTTCCTACATAAGGAGTTAAGTATTTTAAACTTACGTATCCAAACATAGTTTGTGGATAACAGTACATTTACTTCAAGGTTAATTAAATTGATTTAAACATATATATTGTCATTTATAGACAGTATTTCTAACATTGCAAGTATCATAATTAGCAACATTAATTGAAATGGCAGTACAGTTAATTACAATAATTTAATGCTTACTTATTATTTGACATATTTAGTCAAAGTAAGGGTGCACTGATTGAAAAATTTGTCTTGGGATAATTCTTAGTTTTAAATAAATGTTGTGTATTCATTATTAATTTGTGTCTATGACTATTGCTGTGTTCAGGCAGAGGTGAAATGTTTCAGTTAAATGTACTGATTCAACACCCTTTTTTTATAGATTTCTATGCCATTTTACACCAGAGTTTCACCCTGAAAAAAGCACCTCTTTCTTGAAAAATTTAGAATGCGTATCTAACTTTCTTTGCCATGTGAGTGAATGAATTAGGGAAGGGTTTCTTATATTGGGGTCCACAGACTTTTGGGGGTCTGTGAGTCATGTCAGAAATTTCAATAACATATTAGAAAAAATGATTTATAAAATAAAATTTTTGTTGGTGTAAAATTTGATTTTATATGAATTAAAACATTTATTTTTGGAATATGTATTTTCATATATACAGAATTTTTATATTTTTTTCAAAACAAAAAACATTCATAGGTTTATGGGTCTGCAAAAAATCTTAAATTAAAAGGGGTCCTCAGGGTTACTAAATTTTGAGAACTGCTGGCCTAGGGTATCTTGTAATATATTATATATCAGTAGTGTTCAGTTAAAATGTTGGTCTGTTGCAAAGAAATATTGAATTTAATTTTCTTTAGATTTAGAAATATATTCTGTATGAGATAACATTTTTGTCCTGTAATAGTACATATCTGGGGAGCAAAGACAATTTCAGTAATCACATGAGTGAATGTATAGCTAAATATTTAATGAAATATAGAACTGAGAATATGTTTAAAAAATTAGCTCTATGGTAGTTCACTTTGAAATTTGAAACATTAAACAGATGATAAAAATAAGGCAGTTTTTATATGAAATTATAATGTTGAGGACATACATAGATTCATAATCTTTTTTAATTTTTTTCCTGATTTCTGAAAAAAATGAAACTAATAATAATGAAAAAACATAGTGTAAGAGAATTTCTTTTCAGTTTTGTCTATGATGTAAATTTAATTATTTGAGTATATACTATAAAAACTTAGTTCATTAATACTTTGTAGGACATAATATGTACTGTATATTAAAATTATGCAAGTAATATCACTCTTAATTATAATTTTGCTTTTTAATGGAACTGCAGCTGGCTTTTTATATAGTTTGTACAGGTTCAATTCACAAGTTGTAATGACTGATATATAGGAGGAAAACTGAGTATATGAATTAGGAATTTTGCACATTTTTTTTGTTATATAGAGAATCATAATATTACATTGTTTTCATATTTAAAATAATAATGTGGGAAAAATGTTATTCAGTATTGTTTGATTATATTGGATAGATAAGTGCAATCTTTCTGACATTGAGCTTACAAATTAGGCCATTAACTAATTTTGATATTTACTAAGTAACATCAATTAAATTTAAGTCATAATTTCCTTAGTTTTTTAAAGTAGCTTAGAGTAAATTAAAGACTTGCTTTGATCATCAAGTATGTAACAGATTTATGGCCATTAAATTTTTAATGAAAATTAATGAACATTTTATTCTAGATGTTATGCTTTGCGAATTCTATTCAAACCAATTAACATAATATATTAATTACTTGCACAGTGTTGTTCCTGGGTTCAACAGTTTAAGGTACCCATGTCTATGTGTATAAAGATTATGGGAAGGGATACCCTTGAGGCATTGTTTTTCTTATTGAAAAGTATTAATAAGTATGAACAATTATGAACAAGTTATTGTTACACTTCTACAGCACCTTTTAAGTTTCCAAAGCAAAATCTTACTGCATAGACCTGTGTTAATTAGCTGTGATCAACCCATAATGTCATGAGTAAATGCATCACTAATGCATTGATATTATCATCGTAAGTAGTAGTTTCAAGGCTCTCATGGGTTCTGTCGTATTAGTATGATATGCATGGTTTTATCAAGTCAGTAAGTTAAAGTCTTTCTAATTATATTTTCAGTTTTGTGAAAATTGATTTTCAAGTGAAAACTAACAAAACTGTTTAATAGCTGTTAAATCATTTAAATTATATATTTTTTTATTTTGAGCAACTGTTTTGGCATTTTTTTTTTCTTCTGTAACGGATGTTAAAAATAGTTTTGATTTTTATTTGTTTATTGGCTAATATTAGGAAGCTTGTTTAATTGATACATGCATTTATTAAAGTAAAGAGAATCTAGTAGTTTAGGAAGCATAAACCCACATTATGAATTGTATTTCACTTTGAACTGTTAAACTCTTTAAAATAAACAGCACTTTTAGTATCATATCACAATTTCAGGATAGGTGTTTTTTAGTTCTATTAGACTGGCAAACAACTGTGTCAGAAAATTAGCATTTATAATGCATATTGCTATTTTATTTCTTTTAGCCACTGTATTTTATTCACTCTCTATTATATTGTATAATATATATATATATATTTCTATGCTAGCTTATTGATTTTATGACATATGTATCTTCAAACCCTTCTGAGCAGTAAATGTAATAGTACAGAAGAGCTGGTTTTCAAACTGCTTAGAATTGTGGCATGTGAGAAGCCTAGACAGACCTTCAGAGTTGAACAAGTCCATGTGAGATCTTTTATTGATAGATTTTCAAATGTTGTAATGAGTTACAGATTGTTAGTATTGTGTGATTCTAATCATACAATATCAGTCACTTATAAAATAATGTGGAAAGACGTTTTTTATTTTCATTACCAAAACATAATTCTTGTTTTGCAAACACCGACAATGTATTCTAAGAGGACTTTAAACAATAAAAACAGTTAATACATTTTATGCAGTAACTTGATGTAATTAGTATATTTAATTCTAATTTCAAAGCCCACAATGAATAAAATAAATAAATAAAATGTATTAGCTCTATACGTACTGACTGTGAATTTCACTGACCTTGTAGTGTGCATACCATGACCTTTTTTTTTTTTACAGGGTTACATTCAAAATTTAATTAAACAGCTTTATTATCAATGTTTGTTAGTAAACTTGATATCAAAACCCAGTTTATAATTTAAGTCTTAATAATATGTAACTTTTAATTTTGATGACGAGGAACCCACTTTGAGACTAATAATGGCTGGAGACGGCTTGAATGGGTAATGAAGAAAAACTTTAATATAAGTTTAACATAACAGCAAATGTACAACGTTTCGACAAGGTTTTGTCATCATCATCGTCATCAACTTTTAATTGTTTAATTTTGATATCAAAACCTAGTTTATAATTTAATTCTTAATAATATGTAATTTTTAATTGTTTAATTTTGATATCAAAACCTGGTTTATAATTTAAGTCTTAATAATATCTAACTTTTAATTGTTTAATTTTGGAAGGAAATATTAAAAATATTCTCAATCTTCACTTCTGTCATGTGACATATTTGTCCTCTGATCATTCAGTTACATTTTATATCTTCCACAGTATGGCTTTTATAATGACCAACCATTTAATGAACTAACAAAGATGAATATAAAATTTGAACCTTCTACCTTCTTGATTTGTTGAGACATCAATAAATTTGTTAAATCCACCAGAGAAGCACTTCCCATCTTTTCATGCATTGCAAATCAATTATTCACTTGTGCTTACTTGTCTGATGGGCATGTTTATAACCAACAGAAAGATCATATTGTAATGCACAGAAATCTTAGTTTAATTTTGGCAGACAAAGGTGGTGGTTCTCAAAAAAAGATTGATGTAAGTTGAATTAAGTCGTTACTCTGAGCAGTAACATATTTTTTTAACCTATTTATAGTTTAATTATAAAGCTAGATAAATTATAATATTTTTTTAGAGATTTTAGTCTGGTACCTGATATATTTTTTTGTGTTCTAAAATGCATATTTGAAAGCTACATTATTTTTTGGACAACATCATAGTAAGAAAAAGCAAGGTAGCTGAAACACATCGTCCGAGTATAAACTATCTCAACATCTAAAGTAAGTGGTAAAATTTTTGTTTTTAATGTATATTTTTTTATTTATTATTATATATCTTGGCAAAAGTAACTAAAGTGTAGAAATTTAAAACTTCTTTTCTTGTGTTAAATAACAAAATTTAAATGAAGACAAAATTAAATAAAATTTCATGAGATCAATCAAGCTTCAACCTCACAGTATGCTGTAACCTGATTGTTTGTTTACCATTTAAAATTACATTTCAATTCTAAGCTTGTAGCATACATAAGATATTAATTGTTTTCAGAATTTTATTGGTATGCATTGAAATTTCTGTTAAGTTGAAGATGGTTTTAAGAGGAGCTAAAATGTTTTGGCAAAGTTTTGAACATGAGGAAAAGCAGGTCTATACGTGTTATTACAAAATACCTAAATAACATCATAAAGTTAATCTTGTATCTGCATAAAAAAAGGTCAGCAACAACCCAGAATTCTCACAAACTGCAAACTTGAAATTTAACATCTTTAAATTAGCACAGAAAAGATACTTTTAATGATATGTAATCTATGTTGTAATAATTTTATAGTTTTCCTATGAAACTCTAGTCTATAACAAAGTTGTGCAGAAACTGAGCCAACTCTGTAAATCCTAAGTATGTTAAACATCAGTAAACTACAATTACAAACTACATCTGTGCATGATCATAAGATTTAATGATAATCAAAATATATTGTATCTTATGAATATTGTGAACAATAGCAGAGTCCATACTCGAGCAACAAAGTTTTTAACTTGAAAGCCAAACTTCTGTTACTTGGACTATCTTTTCAACTCTGTGCACAAACAAAAAGCATATTAATTGGATGTTACAATTTTAGTTACAATAGTTTCTAGTGTGTGTAGGATATTTAAGTATAATCTAAAGCTTGCTTAAGCCCTTTTTTTTGTAATTCTGATATATAGGGAAAAAAAAAATTGCTTCATCATCATTATCCACCTTCAGTTTTTTAAAGATTATGTAGTATCTTAAATTATTGTAAAATGCAATACATCTGACACATCACAGAGATCAACCATTTTCTTTAGTGTTTTTATGGTTTGATTCATCTTAATGGATAGTGATTATTCCGTTCTGCAAGTGTAGCATGGTGACTGTGTTGTCTAGAATAGCCTCATAACCACATTGTGTAATCCTGGGATCTGTTTGTTAACATATAAGGACAAATTGCACAAGACACTGGACAAGTGGCATTCACTTACTGAGCAGCATATCCAACTGGGCACTGGTAGATTGCCTGTATAGATGATACTAATAAAAAAACAACAACAAAAAACTACCTAACTTGGCAGTGAATACACTGTTGTCATTGTTGTTACCATCTCGAGGAGGTAGGTTTGCATAAAGAATAAAAAATTCACTTGTAGATCAGTGAACAAAACAACACATACTTTTAGTATTCAGTTACATCAATAGAAATGACACCTATATTTTATTACTCACTTTACCTAAGTACAAGCATTACATATATTTTTATTAAAATAGTGAAGTGTAAATGATTATCCTTCAGATATCTACTAATGCGAAGGTTCAGTCAGAACAGCTATTAAACAATCACTTATTTTGATCAAATCATCCCATTCTCCAGTCACAATTACTTATATGTTGCTAGATAAAATAGGAATGACAAGATAAACTTACATAGAGGTTGGGTAGTGGAAGTTTCTATCATTTGTAACTGGCCATCCTTCTAACTTCTGTGACAGTCAGGAGAAAGTGGGGTAGATCTTCATAAAAATCAGGAAGAGAGCTTCAAGAGCTTTATGAAAATTCAAAAGAGCTTCTGATTAAAAGGCTCTTAGGTAAGTTGGGAGTAGCATCAATCTATATTCATCAAATTAAGTTGTAAACCACAATATGACCTCAGTTTGGATTTATTGCCACCATTAAATTGATGGTCTTCATGGGCACTTAACCTTTCTACCTGATACATATTTCAATGAACAGTCGTTGTCTGTTGCAAGAACTTTGATTTCAATTTTATCGCATCAAATTTCATTACAATTAGTCTCATCACAGGGTATTTTATACTATCATTTTTGCACTGCTCCATCTGTATGTGTCGGGTTTTATAGCATTCTGTCAACCATCTTGATTTAGGATATCTGTGCGGCATCCTCGAAATACCTATATAATTTCTATAGATTGGTCTTATTAAATCATCTCACTGGAAGATAAACATGGGCTGGTATCATTACATATCATACTCATTATTTCATATAAGATTACCTCTTCATGTCTTAATAAACTGTGTTAGAATAATAAGTCAATTATATTGCTGATAATAGATTTAATGAAATAAAATGTTGAACATTTAGTCCTTCCTTGACTCTCGCTAACCTCGTATGGTCAGTAATTCATCATGCTAATGTTACTCTTAGCATGACATTACGCTTAGAACTAAGAAAAATGTATGTTGAAGGAAATTATTTTTCAAAACATTCATGTTATAAGTGATTGTTTACTTAACTATGAAAAAACTTAACAGCTGATCCATGTACAGCTTATAGACTTTCAACAAACATTGTTTTACTACTTTTATTTTTAGCTCCCCTAAACCTGTATTCCAACAAGTAAATGGTAGGAGGTTTCATAGTCAGAAAAGCAATCAAGATACTATTACACCACAGCATGAAGAAATCACAAGATATATTTATGACAGTAAGTAGTGATGTTTCATTTTGCTACATAGTTTAAAATATCTGTAGCCCTTGATATTTCTTTATGTATACATTATTAATTTTTTGGTCTTACGTTGTTTAGTGAAATGTTTTGTATTAATTTGTATTATTTTTAAGACTATTCAACTTGAGTTTATGTGATCATTTAACTCTCTGTACATTACTGAAATTGAGACATCAGAGGAGGATGTGGATATTGTCTTAAGTCCTACTGACTCATCTGACAAAGGAGGAGGAGCTGAAACTACTTATCTGATGTCCACAAAATAAGACACAGGAGGAAACACTAGAGTTAGAGGCAAATGATGGCTCCAAAAGTTGGATGAACCACCAATGTCGACCTCCTGATCAACATGGTGGGACTGATTAATCATTAGTCAAGACAGTCATTGAGTAGCATGGTTACTGAACAATAGGAATTGGGATTACGTGCTTTCCAAACTGTTGGATGGTATTGTAAGGTAGGATGTATGTGCTACATTGTAGGGTCCACTCAATCATCATGATTGGGATGTTTTGTTGATCATGAGATTAACAAGACCAAAAAGGCTTTGCAACCTTTACTTTCTGAGATATCAAGCAGAGTTTCACTAAAGGAAATATCCACCAGATACTAGATGATAGCTGCTTGATTATCATCACCTAGAATGATTCGTATAATTAAAAAAAATAACTGAAAAGGTGTTGCAACCCTTAAGTTTTGAGCTACTGAGTGGATTTTATGTGGTAGGCTATGTCTGTACAATGTGATCTACATATTTTTGTGTGCATTGCATCCTCTGTAACTCATATGTCAACTGAATTATCTGCCACAGCATGAGGTGTACATTAGTCTAGTCAGGTCCAAGTTGGTTCTATGCTGCTGAAACTTATCATAACCACACCCAATCCTTTACTGTATATTCATAACTCTATTTTATCTTCAAGCAGTCTTTCCTAATTGTTGTCAGGTGAACCTCATATGCTTAAATTAATGTAGAACTTAACCACTCCACATATTCCTGTAGACATTGTGGGATGTCTTCTCATGGGGGAAGAACTGTACACCACATCACAACAGAATAGCATTTCCCACCTAAACATGAGCATGTTTGGAAAATAGTCTGTAGACCTCTGGTCAGTTATTTTGTATGCCATCATCATATATGACAAGTATTCATCTCTGTCGTTTCACAATGTATTCATAAATTTGGCAAGCATCAGCTTGGTAACCTTTATTATTCATTCTGCCAAACCTTCAGACTCGGGGATGATAAGGAAGTGCATTTATTCACCACTCTTGAGACTTTACACAACTTGGAAAACAATTGACTGTTGAAATTAGCTCCATGATCCATGCAAATCTCTTCTGGTGCTCCAAACCATGCTATCCAGTGCTCTGACAATATATCAGTGATGAACTTTGATGATGTATCTACCAATGAATGAGTCGAAAGCAATGAGTGAGTACTGATGACCTCTCTTAGTCTCTGGAAGTAGAACATCAGTTTCCAGGGATATTGTCTTTAGAAGTGACCCAACAATCCTCTTTCTGAGTCCATTTCTTTCTCTGGGCAACACATGCAGTACAATATTTTCACCAGTTCTGAACATCTCAACTGGAATGTGGCCTGAAGAACTTCCATTAAATATTAGGGCAAGTGTATTTTGTAGCCCTCCAATCCTTGTGTTATGCAAAGTCTGGAGAATCTCTTGACACTGTCTCTGGAGATCTGCAGCACAGTCACAGAACCACAGCTTTGTAGTTGAAACTGACAATGCAGCCCACCCTCCTCCACTTGTAACTGACCTTACAAATACCACAGGTTAAATGCATCCACGTTACTCTCCTCTGTCAGAGCTGGTTGGGCTTTGCCTTGCTGCAAAAGGAACAAGCATACATACTATACTGGAATCCCTCACTTGATCTTTCTGGAACATCTAAAGTGATAATCATGCCATCCATCCACTAGCAGAATCTCCTACTTTGTGGTGTCACACTATGGTAGAAATGGCTGTGGTTTTAACTCTCAGTTGTTGTCCAAAATCGGTACATTCCATGAGTGGGCAAAGTCACATCGCAATAATATAACTTTTTCATATTGACTCAACCAGACCCATAACACAAGAATACACATCACTTGGGATGGACCAAGGAATGTGACCAAGCATACTTATCCCTATAGACTACTTCAGTGGATGCCCAGTGCCATCTTAACCTTAATAAGACAGCAAATTCCTGATGGACACAGATAATAATATTGGAACAATGTTATCACATATCACAGTTGCAGGATTGAATGGAAAAAGTAACTGTGAATACTATTCATGTGCTCATGGCTCCAGACAACAGATAATGCAAGAAAAAGAAAGAACTGCTTGCATTTGTGGTCTTTTTTTTGAAATGCTAACACCACTACTTGCATGGTAGAAGCTTCACTATCCAGGTGGCTCAAGCTTCACTGAAATGACTAATGAAATTTAAAATCTGGAAGGCATGATAACACTTTGGATAGCAACATTTTTTCAATATTACTGCTTAAGTAACAGCATAAATTATCTTATGTAGTAGGAAGTAGAGCCTTTAATGGATTATTAATTAACACAACATTCCAATATTTCACAAGTAATGCATTTATGACAAATTACTACCACACTGTAACTAAAAAAAATGTATTAATTTATTTATTTATTAAGCAATAAGTGCCATGGAAAATTCAGTAAAGACTAGTTGGACAGTCCCAAAGAAGAGTGAAATGAGTCTGTGGCTGAGAACCTGAAAATGGTAGTTCAGTGGATTTCAAAAGGTTTGAAACTGAAAACAGGGAAGCGGAGTTTCTTGGTCATACTGTAGGAATACATAGAGTAATTATGAACCTGGCTAAGATAACAGTGGTGAGTGATTGGCTTGAGAGTATGTCCAAGCAAGAAGTCAACCAGTTTCTTTGGTTTTGGATCATATTCCCAATGGTTTATGTTCAACTTCTCCAAGATGGCCACATAACTTTTTGTTTTCACTAAAATTCAGAAGGTATTATATGTGTAAGTATAGTGCTTTCCTGGATTTAATCACTTTAAATAGAAATATTAATCTTTCATATATTGCAGCATGGAAGCTAGTGAGTAGGGAATATGATGCTGCCAAACAGCCAGGTGCTGAAGGGAAAAGTATGTTAGTTATTTTATATTCTCTATATTTCATAATGTTATTATAGACTGTAGGCTAATCTTTAATACCAAAGATATTTTCTCCTATTATATGTGCTTTTTATAACTTACAAATATGTTTAAAATGTGTACAATAAACATTTTAATGGAAGTTCACACTGATGTATATAGAAGTCTACTGCTAATGGCAAAACCCCCCCAAAAAAACAGTACTGTTGCCACAGTACAATCTGTACAACCCTTGTTGTTATATTGTACATAATGATATTTTTTTATTTTTAGTTGGAGTATTAAGTGACAATATAGACATGCAGACTTTGGTTTACCTTTTCACATATGCAGACCATATGAGATATTAAATTACATTCTCCTGAACGAGAAAAAGTTAAAATAACTTAATAATAACTATTGTTTGTTTATCAGAATATTAGTTTTTGTACTAAATAAATGTAAGATGTTTAGTTTTTAACTTTATGCACAGTATTATATGCTTATTTGATATTGCATTGTAATTAATTCTGTTAACAGTAAAGGTTGTGACTTATTATCAGTAATGGCCATGGTTATTGTATGTAAGAATAATATTTAGAAATTGAGTGCATGTACAATGTTTTAGAAGAAAAACTGAACTCTGAACAATATTAGCAATAAGTTAGGGTTATTTGAGTTTTCACAAGGCTTCTAGTCTTTACGGTGTAGTAAACTAAACTTATCAAATGATGTTAACTTCTTTAAAGTATTATAACTATATATATATATACATTTGTTGACTACAATACTGTATCATTTGTGTAAACTTGCATTAACAAGTATTCTACACTGATTAAAATATTGACTGAAATGTGTGTAATTTCATACAGAATCAACAAACATAGTAATGTATTTAGTTGCCTGTAGCATGTAGTATATATTTTTATACAGATACAACTTGTAATGAGCTTGTTGTAGGTATCCACACAATGTTTTGATGGTTTCAGAGAAATTTAGTATATTCACTGTTGTAGTGTAATATTTTCAGTCTTTTTTTTTCCTCATGTTAGATTTATAAACTGTATCATTTGTAAAGAAAGACTAGCATAATAGTGCAATTAAGAAACCTTTTGCCATGTGTTATTATATATATATATATATATAAAATAAAATATCTAACGACTATTTTATGTGCTGTATTTTAAAGTGTGTGATGGCAAATCTTTGTATCTATTACTTCAACTTGACAGCAGGTTTAATGTTTGTACTTCATTGTACGTATGTTTGAACAGTGTAACTCAAAACATTTTCATTTGACTTTTATTAATTTTTACAAAGGTTGAGTGTCCCCCAGGGACCATTTATTTAACTTTTGGTGAATATAGGTCAAAGGTCAAGGTCATACTGAAGTCAACCACTTTCTTTATAATAGTAGTAAATTGACATTTTCGGAAATGGTCAAAATACAAGAACAAATTGAGATGGAAAGAATATCTTGGCACATACAACTACATTTTTGGGGGTGAGGAATTTTTTGGTGTATATTTTAGGTTGTGAATACATTTCTAGTATATTCTGTTTGCTTTTAGTAATGGATAAAAAAAATGCTACATTCTCATTAATAACTGGTGACTTAAAAAAGAACAGTTATTTTGTAGTTCAAGGTAATATCATTTCAATATCTAACAGGAAAAACTGTTTTTGAGTGAGTAATTTTAAATGTTTGAGGTAATTAAGGACTTTGAACTTGTGCTAAATTTATTTTAGTGTAGGTTCAACTTTTCACTAAAAGGGTTTTGAGGTGTGAAATATACTCCCTTTTTTTTTCCTTTCTGCAAAGAACTTGCACAAACTGAAAAAGAATAACAAGTTCATTGTTTAATGATGTTAGAAAAACACCCGTTGGGTTCAAGAAGTCTTGATAGAAATGAATAAAACCCAATAATATGAGCACTTCTGAAAAGTGGACCTTTCTTCTTCAGAAAACTGGGCAATGGTGGTGTAATCGAATGAGTGATATATATATAAAGGGAGTTTAGTGATGTCATGAAGGTCATCTGGTTTTTCGGAAATGTTTAGTCTATTTCTCTATGTACTGTTGTAAGCATCTCATTTCTGGTACAGTGTAGCCAATGGCGAGAGTGTGTGTGAAAAGGTGTTAGGGATATTTTACTTTGGATAAATGGATAAATATATGTATATTTAAAACTATACTTAAGTGTTTAAGTAAAATAGAGGTGATACTTGGAGACTGATTGAAAAAGATAAGTTATGCTAATCAATTTATAAAAACAGATATGGAAAATTATTTTAAATAAATAGTATGTTTCAAAAAATTCAGCATTCACATTACATGAAAAAAATAAGCAAAGAATAAAAATTATTTTTCTGACAGATGAAATCAATGAATGGAGATCACTGATTCCAGGAACTAGATTAATTCCAAAAGGTTGAACAGTGTTTAGATTAGCAATCAAATAAGCTTCTTTTATTTCTCTATCTGGTTTAGTTTTAACATATAACATAATATTTTGGGACAACATGGGACTTATTGGTCCATCTTGGCTGTTCCATCCTCAAAACTAAATTAAAATGATAAAAAAAAAATTAAACCGAACACTTTTCATTCATATACTTATCAAGCATTTTCTTAAACTCACTTAAATTTACTGCTTCTACAACATCTGAAGGCAACCCACTCCAAAGGTCAAACACCCTGTTAGAAAAATTAAATTTTCTTAGCTGAAGATGACGCCTACCTCGTCCTACTATTCTCATTGTTAAATATAAAAAAGATGATACATCAACACTATCAATTCCCTTTACAATCTTAAACACCTCAATCAGATCCCCCTAACTTTTCTTTTTTTGAAGAGAAAAGAATTTGAGAGACTTCATCCTCTCATTGTATGACAACCCCTCCATCCCAGGCACCATTCTAGTAACCCTTCTCTGAACCCTTTCCAACAATTCAATGTCCTTTCTTAGGTAAGAAGCCCAAGACTGAACACAATATTCCAAATGTGGCCTAATCAGTGACCTGTACAATGAAAGTATAACTTCTTTAGACTTGTATTCAATATTTCTGTAGCTACAACCTAAAATCCTATTTGCCCTACCATTAGCAACAGTACACTGCATAGATAACCTTTGAGACTGATCTACTATTGCACCAAGATCCCTTTCCTTCATAACACTGTTAAGGTTATTCCCATTCAAATTATACTTATAATATAAATTATGGTAACCCACATGCATTA